CTCTTGCCCATTGGAAATGTGCACACAAATGTGGGGGGAAGGGGACACGACCACCTGCACTTCAGTGGCTTCTACAGCTATTGAGGAGAATAATGAGGATTTTTCCACCTGCAGTAGTAGAAAATTTAAATTCAAGGCAGCAAGGATACCAGTAATAGTTCAGAAATAGCTAAGCTGCTACGAGTAAATGAAAAAGACGCAGTGTAAAATTACTAGATTTTTTTTTAATGGTACAATATATTGTAAAATCTAACTTGTATTAGCCACAGAACTTAAAACCTGCTTGGATATGAGAAATGACTGGTACATGTGGTGAAATATGTCTCAAGGACTTTCAGCAAAGATCAAGCACAGTGATTCCCAAAGTTCTGGAGTAAAGGCAGAGGTGTGCTACAGAAGTCAGGGAAAAGGAACAATATAAGTTAATGTTGTTATTAGAGAGCCAAAGAGAAATAAACTAAATAATAAATATACTTACAGGTCTAAAGAGGAAAGGTTTAAAGCATCAGAGTGTACAAGAAGATAGAATTACAAGATACTTGAAAACATACAGACAACTAACAAAATGCAGATCATTACATGACAAGGAACTATCTGCAGACAGTTATGTGGCAAGTAAGCTTTATTTACTATGAGAGAAAGAAAAGCACTTTCTTCACCTGGTGTTCTGCCCTGCTGAATAGACAATACTGTGGACAGAGCAGTCCTGGGCAATGGTTCCTTCCCTGACACATAAGTATTAACTTAATCACCCACTTTTGCTCTATCTGTAAACACAGAGCTCAGGATTTCCCTGAATTAATCCTTGTTTGGACTGCATAGGGGATTGGATGGACGAAGAACACCATGAATCACCAGAGGTTTTTTCCACTGCTATCACAAACAACACTATTGCAAATATTCTGAATTCCCTGTAAAACAACTTCCAGTGTTTGTCTTCTGCTGGAAACTATTTTCAGAATCTCACACTTTATGTTCACTATAAATTATATTCTTTGATTACATGCAGGATCCTTTTTGTAAAACTGTCTCTTAGTATAAATCTCTGCCTTCCCTGCATCTACTCCCTTGTGCAGTTCGAGCCAGCAGTACCTATAAGTTACCCTTCATTTTGCTAAGCCACCCAAGTTCTTCAGGCTTAGAAAATGAGCTCTCTGTGACTCTTAATCATCCAGGTAGTTAGAAATAATCTTCCACAGGCATTAGTAAAATGAGACTGTTGCACAATGCTTCAGGGGAAGCCCCCCTCTCCTCACTCAGGGACACTTTGCTGTCTTTGTTGCACACACATCTCTGGGACAGCCAGGAATCCCACTGGTCTCTCCCACAGCTTTGTCAGACACCATGAGACCAGACATATAGATGCCACAGGTTTTGTCCTTTTTTTAACCTCCAAGGGATAGGACTCAGTATTCTGAGAATAATTTTTTTTTTCCACTAATAATATTGATTTTCAGTTAAAGCGCAGTCAGGGACCTGTTTTCTAATTAAATAAATGATTACATTAGTTTTATATCCTTCTGGAGTCATCAAATAACAGGCCAAATAACTCACAGAACCTGAAACTATGTTGCAGTGTCATATATTGTCAGCCCAGTCTTTTGATCAGCTTAAGCATCGGCTGATCGGCAAAAACTGACTCCCAAATGACCCTGAGCTTGACATTAACTGCATTGCTCTAATTTAATTCTGTGCCTGAGGGTTCTGCACCAGTCCCCCTACCTCTTTTCTTAGGAACAGAGACAAATGGATGGGCCTGTATTGCCAGAGCAGTCAGACATCTGATCTCAGCGTTTCAGAGATGACTGTCAATCATTGTCCATATGGAGAGAGCTCCTTTATCAGCCCTGTCCAAACTGGGGTTGCTGGGTATTGATAACTGATAGAGAAACTTTAGCAGATGTGACTCAGCACTCCCCTGAGCCCTGCTGGAGTGGAAAGGATTTATTACATGATTAGCATATTAATACTGTCCTGCTTTTCTGCTTTTTCCCAAATACAGAACGCAATACTGGTTGCTCCTGTTTAATCTTTTTGTTGTTGTTGTTGTTGTTGTGAACTTTTTCAGTGCTCCTTACAAATATAGAGTCTTTCTGCCTAAACCTTTTCTTGCAGATACTTGATCCAGAATTGCTTTCAGATTGTGAAATTAGCAATTTGGAAGAACTACCTGCATTTAAAATGTTTGGTATCACTTTAGAAGGAAATCCACAAGCAGAAATGTTCCAAAATACTTCTAAACTCAGGGGAAAGATAAGTTATATGGAGTGAAAAATTAAGAGCCTTTTCCAATTTTGAATTAACATTAACAAGCCCACAGCTAGAACACTGTATATAGTTCAGAGTGCATCCATACTGAACACCTTACATCTGAGAAGGCTTGAGGAAGAAAAAGGATAGAAATCAGGACTGAGAGCCCTTTTGAAAAATGTTTTAAATAATGAAATGGTTTTAATTAACTGACAAGTGGAAAAGCAGAGTAATTGAACCAATGTCTATATGTATTTTTAGGGAGATACATTGCTTATAGGGTTTAAGTAGAATATGCAGAAGAAGGAAGACAGCAAAAATTACAGAGGCATATTGGATGAGAGGACAGATTTACTTGGATCATTTAGACTGAACTAAGTTTGTATATGCCCCTTCTTTATGGAACAGATTTTATTTGGCAGGTACAATGTCAAGAAGATGAGCAAATAGACATTTCACCTTTGTCTGTCCCTGGTTTTATACTCCTATTTTACTCCTTAAAGGCACTGGCTACCCAGGCAGTGAAGCTAACCAAGGCGGCTTGAACCCTCAGCACTGCTCATCTGGACAATGGTGGATTTTCTGTGAGATTTATGTGCCATTTAACAAAGCGGTGAAAGACAGGAAAGAGCCATCCTTTTCACAGCTTTAGCTTGTGCTCCCTCCAGGATCTGTAGCAGCAGGCAGATGTCAGCACCTCTCTTGGTCATTGCACAGAAGAGTTATCCTTGAATTGTGTGAGAATGGCAGAGCCTGTAGCCATTCAGGCAATTTGCAGCAGTACTGCCCCAGGCCAGCTGAACACTGGCTTTGTTACCATTCTCACAGGTAGTCCCCAACCTAGAAACTTCCTCCTGTATTCCCACCCCTGGCTGGCCCCCCAAGACTTACTCACAGCAAGAACATCTGTTACACAGCGAGCTGGGACAAAACAGCAAACCCAGCCTCCGCAGCCCTGAGCAGCCCTTCCTTACCTGCTGCATCGGATCCATAGAGTACCTCAGCTTGTCAGCCCCAGGGCTGGAGAGCTGCAGCCCCCTCAGCAGCTCCATCTGAGCCAGGGAAAGCTGATCCCAGCAGGGCTGGGACTGAGACCCTCAGCTCACCACCACCACTACCACCACCACCACCACCACCACCATCACCGTCACCACCACCACAGCTGAGCACACACCTCCTGCCCTGTGGAGGCTGCAGGCCCCCTTTGGCCCAAGCTGCTGCAGCCTCTAAATGCACCCAAGAGCTGGACTTGAAGCCAGCTCTTCACTGGCATCTCCTCAGCACCTTCTTCAAGGCTGCCTGGCAGCAGCAATGGTGCTCAGCTGGCACCCAGGGCCTTTGGCCAGGATCTGCTTGCAGATCTTGCTATAAACTGCCAGATCAGCTGGATCCTGCTAGAAGCAGCCACAGCCTCCCACAGCCACTCCTTCCCAAGAGCAGCACCAGGACACCCTGATGTTCCTCAAAGGCCCCAGGCAATCCCAGAAGAAACTCCTACAGGATCTTGAATCAGAGCCAGGAAAATGTGGCAGTGCGTGCTTTGCCCATGGCCACCTTGGCTATCCATGGTCTCTGGCCAGGGAAGAGGGCAGCCCCTTTGACAGTCCTCAAACCTTCTTCAACATGAGCTTTAGCTCTTCACTTTTACTGATAATTAACATATCAGCAACAAAGTGCAGTCACAGAAAACAATTAAAGCTTAAACAGTCAAAGGTAGTCAGTGAGATTTTGGCAAACACATAGACTGTGCCTTTTTGCCATCACATCATCAAGCTCAAGGTACAGCACATATGACTGTCCGAAGTGTGCTGGGTGGGGAGAGAGGGAGAGGAAGAAGTCACTGCTGCCTGAGTACAAAATGGCCAGTGCTGCTTCCCCTTGTGACAGCCACTGCACCATTTCCCCAGCCCCCAGACAAGGCCTGGGGCTGAAGAGCCCCAGCTGAGTGCCTGTGGGTGGGCCCATGCCCATCTCCAGGTGAGGGGTGTGGCAAGGGGTGCCCTTATAGGGATGTGCCAGGGATGCTGCAGCAGTTGGCTGGTGCTGGGCCTGGTTCCTGCTGGCTGCCTTGGTCTCCCCCATCATGGTGGGCTTGAGGATGGACTTCAGCGTGCTCCTGGAGCCTCTGGGCTTTGTTAAGGTCCTTGAATGGGTGAGTGGAGCTGGGGGGGGCTGTTTCCTCTGCTGCTCCTGTGCCTGGGTTGGGTACGCCTGTGACAGGCCCTGCCCCAGGTTGCTGGTGCTGGGTGTCTAGCACTGGGCTGCTCCTCAGCCATGCCCTTGGACTGCAGATATATAAACTTGATGTGTTAATTACAAGTGTGTTTCAGCAGCTTGTGCTGCTTTCTGGTCTGATGATTGGGGATTTAGGATCTGGATAGTGAAAAGGAATGTAAGATCTATTTAGAGAGTCAAGTTGATGTGTGATACTCTGAGCATGTATTTTCTATTTGAATTTATAGTTGTGGATATGCAAGACTTATAAAAATATTGCCTTTATCAACTTCAAGAAATACTATGCTGGCTGTTAGTGTACAAAAAAACCAACAAAATACAAACCCCTTAAAATTTTTTGTGCAACCAAAAAGAAAATAAATAGAAAGCACTTTTAAATGGCCTTTGGTTAGCAGTGTTGTTTACACTTTTGGATTTTAGAAACTCAGCATTTTCTTCTTGATATCACTTCATACTTAGTTAGCTTTGCTAACTTTGTTGCTATTTCTTGTCTTAAGCTATTTCAGCAAAATGTTGAGTTTGCTTCCTTTGAGCTCTAGTGATGTGCACTAATGTATCTATGTATAAATTCCTACAGGTTCTTGCCATATTTGCTTTTGCCACATGTGGAGGCTTTCAAGGTGAAACTGCTCTTCTAGTTTCCTGTGAAGGTGTGGTAAACAAAACAGTTACAGCTGCTTTTGCCTATCCATTCAGGTGAGCATTAGCTCTTCAGTTACTACTTGATAATTACTTTTTATTCCCCTTTTCCCTATTTGCCTCATTATGCTCATATGCTTAATGTATAAGTGAAGATGTGAAACTTCTGGCTTGCTCTGTAGCAGCAATAAAATATTCAGTTGTAATCATTTGAAGCGCTGTATTTGTTAGTGCTTTATAGGAAGAAGTAGGTAGAAATGGCATTAGGCAGTTATGCTCTGTATTACTCTATCTTAAGCTCTAGTCTAGCAGTGTATGAATGCTACAGAAAGTAATTAGTAAGACAAAAAACACAATCCATTTTAACAGCCTAATTCTTCATCAATTTGTGGCTGCTTTGGAGGTCCAGATAAGATTATTTTGAATGCACCATTATCCTATTTTTTTTAAGACTGAATGGAAAGTTCTTTTCAGTTTATTCCAGCATTATTTTGGTGAGGTTGTTGGGCACAAAAAACCTAAGTGCTTCGGTGTCATTGCAGTGCTCTTGTAGAGACAAGCTCCTTTCCTGGAGCAGGAGGAAGAAGGATTCCTCTTTGCTCTTGCAGCTGCACAACTATGAAGAGTTATGGCACATGCTCCATATGTGTTCAATAACTGTAATAACATAAAGAAATTGATTCATTGGACAGCCAGTAAAACCCACTACAACAGTATAGAACTTGGTCACAAAACCCAGCCTTGTTACAGCATTTGGACAGGAGAGTGAGGATCTGAAATAATTCTGTGCTGGTCACAGAGTGGTCAGTGCTAGTCACACAGCTTTATTTATTCAGCTTCAGTGGGTTTTGTAGCTATAATGCCTCTTAAGTCCTGATCACCTTGTTCAACTGCCAGTCTCTCAAGTAATGTTGTTAAATCTGCTTCCAAATCGGGAATTTTTTTGTTCAACCACTCTAAAAATGCCATTAGGGTTCTTCTCCCAGAGGTATTATTGTATATCTTAGTGTAGGTTTGGATACAATCTTCAGATAGCTTCATGAATCTTTGTGTTGCGTAAGTGATTATTTATATATTTATAGTGCATATTTCAGAGTAAACTTACACAGTCAGAATGCTGAAGTGCTGTGGCTGTGAAGCATGGAGTATAATTAATGAATATAAATGAAGCTCCCACTGTATAGCAAACTGACTACATGGATGTAATCTTCACAGGTTGAATACTGTGGCATTTAGTGCACCAGACCCAAAAGGCTGTGGTGGTACTTGGACTGATGCCTACCTCATGGGCAACTTCTCCTCTTCTGCACAGTTCTTTGTTACCCTGGCAGCATTGGTGTTCCTCTACTGTATTGCTGCTCTCGTGGTATATATTGGATATAACCATGTGTATCAGGAAATTAACAAGTTCCCACTAACTGTAAGTACTACTAAGATATTTTAATGCTTTGACTTTGAAACTGCAAAGAGATGAGAAATATTGCTAATGCAGGAATAATTGGTGAATATCTAGCAGTTACAAAAGTTAAATGGAGTGTGAACACAAGAATCTCAGGCTGGTCCCTACAGCACTTGAAAAGAAAAGGGGACCCAAAGCCCTTGGCAATCTGCGGTATCACACCTTATGCAGTTATTGAAGAAGTGGAATAAACTTCCACTTTTTCAGGCAAACATTATCTTCACTACAACTCTTCTTTTGTATCATGCAAGTGAGTATACAATTGGTCCATAGACAGGACTGTTAATCTAAAATTTTTCTCTGTATAGAGCACCTGCTGCAATTGGCAGACGAAGATCATTACATTGTGAATTTTAGTCACCTTCAATATTGAAGTTCTGAATGAGAAATTCCATAACATGCTTGAAAATGGACTTAGTGACCTTTCAAACCAAATTTTAGCATATCAGCCATCCAGATTTAAATCCTCTGCCCTTACCCATCACTCTCAATTAACTTTGGTTCAAATTATCATAGAATAGGTGCTATACATCTGATTTTAGAAACAGATTTCTTGGGTTGAGATTGCCTTTTGCATCTATCGAGCACAAGCATATAGTTTTGTAGCTGGTTATCAACATTGAGTTGTAACTATAACATCGTTAATGACTAAATTTACTTGTGATCATTATCACTGGTGCAGTCATCTTGGTGATATAACTGATATTGTATCTGCCTTGCTGTCAGGTATATTCCTGCATTTTTAAAACCTATTAATGAGTATTTCTCCTGTGTAGGACTTGGCAATCAGTGTCTTGACAGCCTTTCTGTGGCTGGTCAGTACTTTTGTTTGGGCGAAGGCGCTTGCTGACATCAAGGTGTCCACAGGAGCCAGCATTGTTCCAGGAATTGAATCTTGCAAAGCACCAGGAACAGCTTGCCATTTTCTTTCTGTGACCAGCATGGGAATTCTGAATGTGTCTGTGGTATGTATGCCTTCCACCACATGGGTACAATAAATGTGGTGGAAAACAACAAATGGTACCTGAGAGTCCTGTTCTACTGATTGCATGTGTTGCTCTGTGTTAAGATTTCTTTATGGTTAATTGTTATTCAGGTCCACTATTACTGTGGTAAAACACTGAGCAAATAATTTCTTGGAGGAAACAAATTTTCTTCTAAAGGGAATTAACAGAAATATCTTGCAGGATCTGCCTCTAGAGCTGTTACATGCAGCATTTCTAGACATATTTGAATGTCTATTTATGCCTTTGGCCAAGAGCAACTTAAATATCTTACTGAGCCACCCGAGTGATTTGACTGATATAAGGAAATGCTGTGCTGGTACTGAACCTAGCTTTTTAATCAGCTGTGAGCATTTTTACACATCAAATTGAGGTTCCTTGTAACATAATGGTATGAAGCTCATATTCATACAAAGAACACTTCATATCAGAGCAAATTAGGCTTATTGTATGATCTTCCTAGTGAATCCTACTTTTCAAAACTGAGGCTGTTATTCATTGCCCTAATAATAATCAGTCATTTGGTATGAGAGTGCATATGTAGGGGTGCTTAGTGACTGAAAATAATTTGTCTAATTCTGTGTAAAGTATAGAGTAAGTTTGACTATCTGGTCTACAAAGAGCTCTGTTAAATAGCTAAAATAGTTTATGTTATTCTGAAGAGTTTGGAAATATCTTGCCAAAATGAAAGGGGTGCCAAAGATAGTGCTTGTTACTGTTTTGCCTTGGAAAGATATTTTGTCTTGTTTTAAAAAAAACTAAAACAAAACCCAATCAAACACAACACATTTAATATAACATTTCCTCCCCCCCTTTTTTTTCTTTACCCTACAGGTGTTTGGCTTGCTTAATATGATTTTATGGGCAGGAAATGTTTGGCTTGTATACAAGGAGACCAACTTGCACAGCCAATGGAACAGAATTTCTGAAAGTCCAACTGAAAGGGTATAAAAAGAAGTTGATATTTTGAAGTGCTTCCACTTTCACATCACACTGCCAAAAGCATGGAGCCATTAGGATTTATTTCAGTAATAACTGATAATTCATACAAACTTCTATTTTGTACTATGGTTTGATGTAAGGTCTTTGGGTACTCCAACTGAAATGTTTAATTATCATGAAATATATTGTGTCTTTCAAGACTATGCAGCTTTATATTACAGTTTTTGAAGAGCAAAATGAAGAGGTTATCTGGATGCTGACCCTTTCTGGTTCTTAAATTAGCCTTCTAGGAGGCATGGCTGAGAAGCAACTGTATCTGGGTTATTACTGCATCATCTTTTGTTCTGACAAGTCTTCTCTGAAAAATGGAAAATAAATTCACCCAGGGCAGGTGAAAATGCAGTTTAGTTTCTTCCTACCACTGATACCTTGCAAAAGTCACCCAAGTAGAATTCACAGCTCTGTCGAAGTTGCAGCCAAGATGTGTAGGCTTCCAGATGCTCCTTTCAGATCATTGTATCAGATCTGCTGCTGGGCCTGTCAGGAAGGACATTACTTCTATGTTTAATATGCTGTTACTGCTTAATGGCTTGGGACAATCTCTAAACAAGGAAATTTGTTCAATGAGTTCATAGCTTCTAGTCTCACTAATATGAGAGTTTGTATATGGGTGCAATAGATTATTTAAACACTTGAAGGAGGTGGGGGAGGGAGGAAAAATAAAGTATGGCCCAAAACACAAATACTGTAGAAATTGAAGTCGATATATTCTGATACTGCTTAGGCTTCTGTCTATTACTTTTGAGGTGCATGAACGAAGTCTGTGTATGAAAGGGAGTAGAGGGCGATGTCCGAATATGATGAATTCTTCATTGATGTTGTTCAGCTCATTCTTTGGGAATGATATTTGGGTCTTCTCATGTAGACTTCTTTATTAATGTGTCTGACTCCCTGTGAATTGCTCAGAACAAATGTTTTGACAAACTTAATACAAAGGCTGTTCAGTCCTTTTCTGTTTGTTTAAACTATTTGTGATGAAAATAGACACAATAGTGTGCATATAATGTAAATTGTAATTGTTTGGTGTGCCAGAGCTATTGACCTTCTGATAGCAAACTGTAGTGTCAAAGGGTGTAATAAAGTCAGTATGACTGCTGCTGAAAGCACGTGCCTTGGGTCCTTACTGCTGTAGCAGTGGATGTAAATGCATTGGCTTTGGAGCTTCTGGGGCATGGCTTTAGCTGTGGCTGCCCCTGTTGGCAGGAGGGGCTTTTACACTGGGGCCCTGTGGGTTTTTTTGTAAAGAGGAACATGAATCACTCCTGCAGGCTACTGCTGCTCAGCACTTCTTTCTGTCAGTTCAGAGCAGGGGCTTTTGTAACTATCCAGAATTTCATTTCAATTGCCTTTTGGAGAAGTTAATAAGGGCAATTTTCATCTGTTTGCATCATTATGCAGGTTTATTTATTTTAAAATACGTATTTCATCCTAAAATCTGAAACTCCTATTTTCATGTTGTCTAAGAAAAAAAAAGCAGTAAATATACATTAAGTTTTTCAGTATCTGGGATTTAAGGCTACATATGATGAGGCTAAAATATTTTATTAGCCTTTAATATTTTCAACAGAACTATGCTCCTGTCTATTTCTGATGTGCTTATCTGCTTTGTCACAAACAGACCTGTTAGTCATGGCCTAGTAGTAAAATGGTAATAGTGAATATTTTTGCACACATGAGAGCTGTAATGGATTAGATGGGTATAGGCCTTATTGATGGCTGAGGTCTAGCCAACAAGTGAAACAGAGTTGGAAAACTTAGCACAGTAACTGATTGTTTCAACAAAAATTCAGATTTCATATTTGCTGAAAAAGATATCCCTTGTTTCCTTAAGGCTGAAATTTACTCTTGTGCTTTCTGTAGAAGAAACAAGTGTGACCTATCCCCAGAGAGCTTTCCTTCAAAAGACAAGGAGAGGAATGTGGCAGACAGGACTATAGCTGGTAAAATACAGATTCACAAATAAGGGATTATGTTTTGTACAAATTCAGGCTGCACGTGTGTCTATTCCACAGAGCTAGGTGAAGAGCCAGGTTGCTGTTAACTGGCCAAGGGAAGTGTGATATGTAGTCCACAGCAAGCAAGATTTTAAAATGGGAAAAGTAACCCCATGTGCACTTCTGGCTTATTAGGATAAAGCTCATTTCCCTTTGCAGGGGGGAGGGACTGATGCAGAATACTGCAGGCAGTGAAGGCTGCTGGGGTCCTGCAGCCAGATGAGATGGAAAGCATCATGCAGCAGGGGCAAGCAGCTGCTCTTGTTTACCCTGGACACCCACAAAGGACTGAGCAGTCTCTGCCTTTGATTAACATCATATTTGGGCTGGCAGCACCAAAACGTTCAGTGTCTTATTTACTCATGGTGGGGGAGGGGATGGCTGTCTGAGGTACCAGCTTTATCTTGAGTGCACAAGAATCACCACTGCTATCAGGAGATGCAGTGTGCTTGAGCCCTCTGTACTGAGGGAACAAAGGGCCTGGATCTCTGCCAGCTCTCTACAGGTTTGTAATCCTCAGCTGGCAGCAATTTTACTTGCAGCCATCAGTGGAGCAAGCTCATAAAAATCCTCTCATACTGCAGGAATTATTCTGGTAGCAGGCTATAGTTATGCACTAGCGAGTCAAGTGCTGTATGATCCCTGGTGTGATGCTAGAGAGGGGATTTTGATCAGAAGCCCACAGTGGGGAGAAAGGCTGTAAGGTGATGGTGAAGGAAAATAAATGTGAGGGGTCAGCATGGGGTAACAGGGAACTCCTTAGTGAAGAATAGAATCCAGTAGCATTAGGAGGTGTTTAAGCAGTCAAGTGCACTGTGATTTAGGCTGCTGTGACCAGTGATCTGGGGCTCAGGCCTCTGATAATGCTGAGAAGCGTATATTCTGCCTGTACTAACTCCTGGGAGTGTCCCTGCTGTGGGAGGTGGCATGGTGTCAGTGCTGGTAGAGAGCTTTGCCACCAGCCTGCAGGAAAAGCAGTAGGAAATTAAATCCAAGAGAGGCCTGGCAATGTCAAATCTCCAAGAGCCAGTGCCAAAAGTGCAGAATGGAATCACTTTGGGGTCTGGACCACTTTGGCCCTGTTGCCTCAGCAAGCAAACCCATCTGCAGCACAGGCTGGGGCTGGGACACTGAAACACCAGCTGACATGCCAGCACCATTGCTAGAATTGATTGTACTGTAGCCAAACAGTGCCTTGTGATGGGTGGGGAATTCCTCATGGCTCTGGCTCTGCTGCACACTTGGCTAGCACTGGAAGGCATGGGTGTGGAGCTGCCACTGAAGGCAAGAAAGAAGACAGATGCCACCTCGATGTGAACAGCTGTGAGACTGTGAGTTCATCACCTGCTTGTGCACACAGGGTAGCTGCAGCCTGTTTATTTTTCCTGATTGCCTAGAACTGAGCAGCACACAAAGCTGGGGCCATGCTGTGCTGGCTTGGCTGCCTGCCCTACTGCAAACTCCTGGGGAGCTGGTAGGGTACCTCACTCCTTGAAACTGCCTGAAGACAGTCCCTCATGCTTCTACAAAGGCCCCACTCTTGAGCAAGTTGTGACAGCACATCAAATATTCTGGATCACCATGGATTGTCTACTTCTATTCTTCTGGGAGCACTTAGTGTGTGCTCATTCCTAACAGATTCGCTGTATTGCCTAAAGCAAAACTGTTGTCACAGAGACCAGAGTCAGAAGCAAGACTTTGCTGCTTAATCACCTTGAAATACTAAGCTGAATAATTAGTCAAAAGAATGGTACAGGATAGGAGTGCACCCCCACCCCTAAAATATTAAGGAATGAGGGCATTTTCTTTAAATTGAAGATCTAGTCCCTGTATATTAGCCACACTCCAGAATTGCATTTTAGAGACTGACTCAAATGTGGAATTCCCTTCTGTCATGTCAAGTGAATCCCTTATAAACATTGCTTTCCTACAGACAATATGTATTTAGAGCAGGGAGAAGAAATTAAAATTTTAGCCTTGTGTTTTTACAAATTTTCCTTTTAATTTTCAGTTGTAACTTCCAAAAATTTGCCTGTACTCAGTAGTATTCTTCCTGCCTGGATCTTTCATTTTTCATCCTGAGTTAGGAAGGCAGCAAGACAGAGTTGTGTTGTGCCATCCTTAAAATTTGTGGCCACATGGACACAGTCAAAGATTTTGCCCTTTGTTTCAGGACAAACACCTTAGGGGCAAGGGCGATATATGCCAACCCTGACCATGTTTTTCTTTCATTCTTTCTTTGAGGAAATCTCATTCTCTGTTATCCATGTTTTCAGTTAATGTTTCACTGTGGGTTCTGCTTGGCTGACACAGGAGTGCTCCCTCAGGTTTTTTTCCCCTTACCTCCTGGGCAAAAGCCGTAATACTCAGAGTGTTCTTCTAACTCTCAAAGTAGGTTCCCTCTCATTCTGCTACATCAGTGTTTGTTGTAAACAGAAGAGGTGTATTTGGACAGCTGGTTCTCATAATCCATGAGTCCCATGGAATCTGATTGATTGCTGCTGCTGCCAGGAGATTGTACCTGCTGCTTGCAGGTACCTGTGCCCTATCAGCAAAGGATGGTTTGTACTTGCTATTACATCCTGTCAACAACTGAGCAACTCCTAATTTATTCATAAAACTTGCTCTGTCTTTTCTTGGCTGGTGACTTCATGTTATCACTGCCAGCTGTGTTTCCTCCTTACCTGTCTGTGCAGCCATTTGGCTTGTCTGGGAGGAGGCTGTCTGCTGATATTTAACTCACAGTCTGGGTAAAAACTGGTATTAGCACAAGCTTTAATCAACTCGCCTGTTTGGTTTCAATTTAATTTGAAGTAGCCTGCACTCAGATCCAGAGTTGTTGCTTTCTGTGGCCTAAGATCAGCAGCTGAATCCTCTGGGTTATTTCTTGTCGTGTAAAGCAGTAGTGATTTCATATGCTGCACCTGCCCTGCCTTGGGATGGTGTTCTATCTGTTGTTATATGTGTTGATCTTCTCGCTCCTTTTTATTTTCTCATTTATGTATAACATCCCCTAAATCATCTTCCTCCAGTGACTTCAGATCTAATTCTCCACTACTTTCTGCAGATACAGCAGCTATTTTTAATTTTTGCATCCTGGTCTGCTTTTGCACGCATCTAATTTTAGCTTCACATTTAATATGATCAGGTTCCCTTGGAGCTCTCCTTTGCTCTGGGGTGAATGGCTGCACTGTGCATGCTAATCCTTCTGCTGGATTCTCCTGCTTTATGCTTCTGTGGCTTTTCTTTCCCTTTTTCTGAATTGAAAATACTGTATTTCAGTATTACCTTTACGAGCCACTAGACTGTACTCCTTTTCAAGTTTTGTAGTATTTTCTTTTTAAAAAGCTTTCAGATCAGAGAACTTATTTTCTGCTTTTACACTGGCTCTAGCAGAACAAAATGTTTTAGCTGCTCCCCCCACAGCCACATTAATACAGGAGTTGTATCCTCAGGTTTCATTTCATAATCACTCTAAAATAGCTAGAGAACACTTATTTCTATATTGTGCCTGATCCTATGAACTGAAATGGCACACCTCTTTCACAGAGAGGTGGCTGTAGCATGGAAGATCTCAAGGGTATTTTTTGTAGATTCTCTTATATTGCTCAGATTTTCAGTTGGCATTTGGGTGGCATTAGTGGCTTGTCGAGGTCTCTGCTGGCAGTGACATAAAAATTGCTGTCTAGCAAAGAAACAAAAGACTGGGCAAACTGTAAAGGACAGATGTTGGCTATGTAATGAAAAAGGTTTTTCTGATACCATGCAGCAGCCTAGTCTGCACACAGCAAAAGGAGGCTGTGATGCCTTGAGACTGAACTTTACCTACTCTTACACAAGGAGTATTGCATTGGGAGTTTTCCCTCTCTTCAGAAGAGCCACTGTTGGCTCTGGGCCCTTTACTGACATGATGAGCTTCTACTGCCCTGGAAAAGGTCCTGTTTACACTGTGAAAACAGCCTGCAATTCAACTGGCATTTCACTGTGAGCTGACCAGCAAACGTTAAGATCCCTGATCAGCAGCAGGAGGGGACACAATATTCTAATAATGAGTCCAAAGGACAAAAATGGGGGTTGAGTTGCAGCTTAGAGCCGAAT